TAAGCCAACTCACCAGCCCAGTTTTATTTAATTTCAAGAGTTCTTTTCAGCTAGGCATGATGATGGCACAGGCCTGTAATTTCAGCACTTTGGGAGGCCGAAGCAAGAAGACTGTGAGTTCAGAAGCCATCGTGGCCCAAACAGAGAGATTCTGTCTGAAAAAGAATGTGGGGTTTGGGGGAAATTAGGGAGTGAATTAGAAGATTAACAGTGCTTGTTGCTCATGCTGAGGACTATAGTTCAGTCCCCAGCATCTGCACTGGGAGGCTCACACCACCTGTAACTCCAGCTCCAGGGACTCTGATACCTTCTGACCTCCCAGGGTGCATGTGCACTGTGTGCTCTCTCTCACACTCTGAAGCCCTGCTGAGGTCTCACCCTGCACAGCTCCAGGCTGCTAGTTCACCTGAGGAGTTCTCCCCAGGCTGCCCCTGCAGGCCTCACCTTGATGCTCTCAAGCAGACTCTGTACAGTGAGCCTTCTCTCTCTCTTGCTGCTCTTCTGATGTCAGCTCTCACTAGTGGGATGCTAAAGCTCTTACGTCTCTGGTCTTATCTGTGGTCTTATCTGGTTCTCAGAACCACTTCCATGCTGTTCCTTTGCTGTTGTTGTTATTTGTTTGTTTGTTTTTTAAAGATTATAAACAGATTAAGAGGCTTGGAGTGATTTTCGCCAGGTTATACAGCAAAGAAGTCCTAGGCCTGGGAGTTAAGCCCTGCCTCTGATTCCCAGGGTGTCCTTCAGGCTTGTGCTTCATGATTCACTGATCAGGAATGAGATTCAGCCTCCTTGCCCTCTTCTGTGCTTTTCTTGTTTTCAGTTATTCTAAAAAGAATCAGACAGACTTCTTTTTAAAAATTAATTATTTTTAGTTTATGTGCATTGCTGTTTTGCCATGGGTGTGGGGTCCCCTGGAGTTAGATAGTTGTGAGTGCCATGTAGATGCTGAGAATTGAACCTGGGTCCATCTGGAAGAGCAATCAGTGTGCCTAACTACTGAGCCATCTCTGCAACCTGTTGGATAGACTCTTGAACTGTATTTACTTCTGCTTTTTGTTTGTTTGTTTGTTTGTTTGTTTGTTTTGAGGGGAGGGAGACGGTGACAAAGTTTCCCACTGGAACTCATTGTGTAGACCAAACTGGCGTCAAGATCAAAGATCCACCTGCCTCTGCCTCCCAAGTGCTGGGGTTAAAGTGCCCAGCTCCATAATTACTTATGTTTACTTATTGTGGCAACACCCAGAGCAGCAGCTGGGGGGCATGTGCCTTCTTTTTCCTGCCAAGCCTGATCAAGGTTTGATTTTGGCCCCAGCTGTGGTTTAGAGGGCTTCACAGCCTGCTTGATCTGACCTTGCCCACAGTGCACAGGTGCCTGTGGTCTTCTTCACAGTGCTCAGGGGAACTGGGTGACAGTTCTTCTCCTGGGGTGCTCTTCTGCCTCCAGAGCCACAGCAGTTTGGGACACCAGAAAGTGGGTGGCATGTGATCACCTTGGGATGCCTGTGGATGTCATTTTTGGGACGCCAGAAAGTGGGTGGCATGTGATCACCTTGGGATGCCTGTGGATGTCATTCAGCATTGCTTGTGGTTTCAGCTTTGAGAGGGGTGGGGGTTTCTTTTTTCACTTTTGGTGCCATCTTGGTGAAAATTTATTTTTTGTTTTGAGACATTTTGAGGCATCTGTATTTTTATCGTATGTGTATGGTTTTGTCTACATGTATGTCTGTGTACCGCATGCATGCAGTGCTCTTGAAGGCCAGAAGAGGGAATCATATACCCTGGTGCTGTGAACCACCATAGGTACTGGGTCTCAAACCTGGGTCCTCTGAAAAAAAGCAGCCAGTGATCTTAACTGCTGAGCCAGCTCTCCAGCCTAAAAAGGGTTTTGAAGTAACACATGTAAGAATGGCTGAATGGCTGCTTCTCACGTGTCCTTCCCTTCTTCTTTTTTTTTTTTTTTTTTTTTTTTTTTTTTTTTTGTGGTGGGGGGGGGGGGACGGGGCTGATGTGGAACTTGCAGATTCCTGCCTAGAGTGTTGAATACAAGTGTGCTCCAGCACGTCAACTTTGCCAGGGTTTCTCTGTGAGGCTCTGGCTGTCCTAGAACTTGCTTTGTAGACCAGGCTGGCCTCGAACTCAGAGATCCACCTGCCTCTGCCTCTCAAGTGCTGGAATTAAAGGTGTGCACCACCATGCCCAGCTCTTTGCCTTCTTCTGAGAATAGTTTGTGAGTTACTTATCTTGTTGCTATGACAAAAATCCATGACGAGGCAACATACGGAAGGAAGGGATTATTTTTGGCTCACGGTTTAGGAAGGGACACTGTACACTGGTGGGAAAAGCATGGCGGCAGGAGTTTGAGGTGGTTGGTCACAATTCATCTCTGAAAAATAGATTATTATTTTTCCTTCAGTCCTGGGCCTCGGCATGAGATGGTATTGCCTACATCAGGTTGGGTTTTCCCTCCTTGGTTAAACCTTGTGGAAAGGGTGGGAGAAACGGCTTCAGTGACTTAGAGCACTGGCTACTCTTACAGAGGATTGGGGTTTGATTCCCAACACCCTCTTGGTGGCCCACAACCATCCGTAATACCAGTTTCAAGAGATCGGACACCCTCTTCTGGTCTCCATGGTTGCTAAGCATACACATGGGACACCTATGTATCTACAGGTAAAATACTCATATGCGTGAAATAAAACAGATGGTGAACAGCAGGTATTCTGTGTCCATCGACATATGACTGGCTATTCCTTGGGTCAGGTTGTCCACAACTGAGAAGTTCACGGGTGGTAAGGCTATGCAGTGCATATGGCCACCTCTCTTAGGGAAAAGGTCTTCTGGCTATTTCCATGTATCTTGGTTATGAGCCCAATGTCCTGGGCTCTCCTTCTCCCAGCAGACTTTGTGCGTGTAACTCCAAGCCTCTCGCCTCTGTCTCACTAGGTTACACTGTGGCCTGGATGCCCTCCCACAGATCCTCGTTACTCCTGGCAGTGGGAGCCCCACGATACCAGCATGTGGGACAAGTACTGCTCTTCCAAGCACCCAAAGCCGGAGGAAACTGGAGTCAGATCCAGAAAATAGAAGGGACGCAGGTGAGAGTGACGGGAAGGGCATCTGCCCGTGCAGCGTGAGTGATGAGTCCTATGCCCGGCAAACACTGTACTGTGTGGGATGAATCATGTTTGCAGCTTAGAGACAGCTTCTGAGGTAAATCGTTGTTTCTCCACTCTCCACCTTAAGACACGGACCCTCCCGGGGCTCAACTCCTCTTACTTCACATAAGCTCAAGCGTACAACCTAGACCTGATCCTGCATTTAAGATAGAGGAAGGTGGACATGGTGCAGCTGAGGGGGTGCATGCTGGCCCTGCTGACTCTTCTTGGATGCCTTCCTGTTCCCACAGATTGGATCTTATTTTGGTGGGGAGCTATGTAGCATTGACTTGGATCACGACGGTGAGACAGAGCTGTTGCTGATTGGAGCACCCCTGTTCTATGGGGAGCAGAGAGGAGGCCGAGTGTTCATTTACCAAGGAAGACAGGTGAGAACCAGGACTCCCACTGAGGCAGTCCAGGGGTGAGGCGGGAAGCTGTTGTCTGGTCTGGGTTATCCTGAGGGGCTACTCCTTCGCTATGACAACCAAACCCTTTAAACAACTAACAGCAGCTGATATGATAGTCTTTGGGGTCTATTGTGCAAGGGCCGGTTCTAAGCATATTATACACATGGCCTCGTTTCATTGTTTGACTGCCACCTAAGCACCTCCGAGCCTTCTGTTACAGATGTGAGCACAAGACTAGGGATGCTCCCTCATTTCCCAGAGCCACAAGTTCATGTAAACAGAAGCAAACTGGGCTGTCAGCCTGACAGTGGCATTGTAATGCTTTGGGGGACTTGGCCACAACTTTCTTTTGTGCTCTTCAATGTATGGACCACAAAGCCACATTCTGGGAAAGTTTGCTGAGGTTAAGGGGTTAGGGTACAATCCTTCTCCTTCCTTGAAGGTGTTCAACATGGTGTCAGAGCTGCAGGGTGACCCTGGCTACCCACTTGGGCGGTTTGGAGCTGCCATCACTGCCCTGACAGATATCAATGGGGATGGGCTGACAGATGTGGCCGTGGGAGCTCCTCTGGAGGAGCAGGGGGCTGTATATATCTTCAATGGGCAGCCTGGAGGACTCAGCCCCCATCCAAGCCAGGTAAGGTACCCTGCCCGCCCACGCATGCGCCTTGAAGCCTCCAAGCTCATGGCCCAGTCTGAGCCTTGACTTCATTTCCTGCACCTGACCTCTCCCAGCTTAGCATCCATTTCTCTCTTGCTCCTTCCCAGAGAATACAAGGAACCCAGGTGTCCCCAGGAATCCAGTGGTTTGGACGCTCCATCCATGGGGTGAAGGACCTTGGAGGGGACAGGCTGGCAGATGTAGTTGTAGGAGCTGAGGGCCGGGTGATTGTGCTGAGGTAAGATGGGCTTCCTTCCTGGAGCCTGGGGACACTGTACTGCAACCCTCGGAGGCCAGCCCTCCTTTATGGTTTCCATGTCTTACCCCAGGCTCAGCAGTCGCTACTCAAACACAGAGAAGAGATTTGAACCCAAGTCTCTCTGGTCCTAAAACCATTGTATGATGTTAAAATCTGCTGCCTTGGGTTCTTGGAACCGAAATTTCTCCATTTTTGAGGTGGTGGTGACATTTCCTGCTTTGTTAGTGACATGGCACAGGGGGTAGATATCGCATATTATGCCTTTAAAAGTTATGTTCATGCCGGGCGTTGGTGGCGCATACCTTTAATCCCAGCACTCAGGAGGCAGAGGCAGGCGGATCTTTGTTGGGCCTGGTCCACAGAGCGGTTTCCAGGCCAGTCAAGGATATATAGTGAATCCTTGACTCAAAAAAAAAGAAATTATGTTTGTTTATTTATTTGTGTATTATATGTGTGTGTACATGTGGGAATGTGTGCTCACATTCACACATGTGTGTGTCATGGCACAAATGTGGAGGTGAAAGTACAGTTTGTAGGAGTCTGTTCTGTTTCTACCATGTGGGTCCTGGGGACCAAACTCTGGTCATTAGTCTAGACGGTTAGCACCTTTACCCCTACTAAGCCATCATCTCACTGCCAGGTTTCTCTTTTTTCAAAGATCCTTTCTTTATGGAAAAGTGGATCACAAGGCTAGTGAACTAGGGACTTCTGACACTGACATGGCAAGAGAGTCCTCTGTCCTCTGCTGGACGGTGCTCCCAAATGTGCGTCACAGTCCCAGTGGGGTGTGCTCCAGGGAGAGACTTTTGGTTTTCTGCTCTGCAGCTCGAGGCCAGTGGTGGATGTTGTCACTGAGATGTCCTTCTCCCCAGACGAAATCCCAGTGCAGGAGGTGGAGTGCTCCTTCTCAGCCAGCCAGGAGCAGAAGGAAGGAGTCACACTCAAGGTGTGCTTCCAGATCCAGCCCCTCACATCTCAGTTTCAAGGTCAGCACCACCCTCCTGCTCCTAGAAGAGCTCCCAACATTGGGAGGATCCCTATCATTCAATTCTTGCCTTCCTCCGTGCCCAGGTCACCTGCATGTCAACCTGAGCTACACCCTGCAGCTGGATGGCCATCGGTCCAGGAGCCGAGGTCTGTTCTCAGGAGGGAGTCACGAGCTCAGTGGGAACACATCTGTCACCCCAGATAAATCCTGCATGGACTTCTCCTTTCACTTTCCGGTAAGGGAGCTGATGCTGGTGTTCTGGGAAGGGCTGACCGCAGTGAGAAGCAATGAGGGTACAGGCTTAGCTCTGTCACCATACAGTGTGACAAGTGACATTGACGTCTTTGTTTGTTTGTTTTGCTTTTGTTTTTCAAGACAGGGTTTCTCTGTGTAGTCCTGGTTGTCCTGGAACTTGTTCTGTAGACCAGGCTGGCCTTGAACTCACAGAGATCCACCTGCCTCTGCCTCCTGAGTGCTGAGATAAAAGGTGTGAGCCACCACACCCAACCCCCTCCCTCAATTAATTAATTAATTGGGACTGATTAGTGATGTCTGGCAATGAGGATTGAAAGCTTGTACTGGGAAGCACATTATAAACGCCTGATACATAACAAATGTGTTTAGTGCACTTATGGTATACAGTGGGAGATGATAAGGTCTTAGCACATAGCAACTAGGGTGTTATCACTGGTGAAGTACAGCTGAGGAGTGCTCTCAGTTGGACAGTCGTGGTTTTGATTACATCCATCAAGCTGCTGTATTCTCACCCTCAGGTCTGCATTCAAGACCTTATCTCTCCTATCAATGTCTCTCTGAATTTCTCTCTTTTGGAGGAAGAAGGAACACTGAGGGACCGAAAGATGGTAAGACTGATGGAGGCATGGATGTTTTAAAGGGAAGGCTGGAAAATCTATTTAGCAACAGTAAAGTGAGTATGTGTTACTTAAGCAAGAAGGGAATTCATAGGAGTCTGTATTTAAAACTGCTTGGGGAAGAAGAGAAGCCAGTTTTTAGTGAACCTGTTCCAGGCCCTGCTGGGCATCAGCCCTAACCACGCTACTGCTCTCCAGCACTGTCCAGCATACACTCCAGGGAGAAGTTCAGAAGGCCTAGCCTTGGACCAGGCCTGTCCCTTGATGTTACAATGACAGGGCATCTTAATTAGCCTTCTCTCCCGTGTGTATCCAGTTCAAATTGGAGTGCTATAAAATTAGAGGGTAAAGTATCTATTGTAATTCCCAAGACCAGACACTGCCTATGCAGGGCGAGAAGTGTGGTGCCCTCTTTTGAAATACTTGACAGTTGGCTGCAGTTGAGAGGCAGCAGGGTCTGGGGGAAGAAGGTGACCTGTGAGCCTGATTGTGGAGCTTCCTGGTAAAGCCTCAGTGGGTACTAGCCCCACTGTCTCCTGGAACTGCTTTCTGCTATGTAGAGCGTCTCCTCTTAGCAGGGCTCCTCCAGAGCCAGAGGAGACCTGTGGGGTGGCCATAGGACGGGTGCATCCCCACCCCCGGCCATCCTGGGATTTGGAGGTGAGGGCAGAGTACTTACCAGAAACAAACACAGTGTGCTGGCTTCTCCACATGCACCTGAGCAAAGTTGGCGGAGGCCCACTATGGCTATGCCACCTCTGGGCACTCATTCTGTTCTGGTCCATGAGTGGGACCCTGTCCTGGAGGAGCTCACAGCCTGCTGCCAGAGAGGCCATGGTGACAACCCTCTTCAATGGCACTGCTGTCAAATCATGGGCCAGGCCCTAGTAATGTGTGCCAGAGATCTGAGGGGGTAAGGCAAATCCACCCATAGAGGTGACCCAGAGGTGCCCAAGAGAAGGAGAGGTAAGTGTTCAGAAAGATCATAATGTGGCATAGGCAAAGGACACTGGAGACTGGGGGTGATGGGCACAAAGGGGAAGATGAGGCCAGATAGATTTAGGAAGCAGCTAAGAGCATTGTAGAAACATTAAAGAATTTTTATGTGAGAAAATGAAATGCTGTACATTCATGGGCTAAAATTTTTCTTATTTATTAATTTTATTTTATATGTATGAGTGTTTTGCCTGCATGTATGTATTTGCACTACATATGTGCCCATGAAGGTCAGAAGCAGGTATCAGATCCCCTGAAACTAGAGTTTTGAGCTACCATTTACAAGGGTGTTGGGAATTGAATCCGGGTCCTCTGGAAGAGTGGTCAGTGCTCCTAACTGCTGAGTTGTCTCTTCAGCTCCTCATGGGTGGTTTTAGTGCCCAGTGTCAGAAACCCAACTAAAACTTGGTGTAAGCAAGAAGGGGTGTTGATCAAACCAGACTAAAGCACAGGCCTAACTTCATGTGTGTCTGTATCCAGACACCTGGACAAAGGCATCAAGAGTCTTTCCCTCTTTTCTCCCCACTCCCTCCTTCATACAGCCCAGACTGGCCTGGATCTTGCTATGATGCCCAGGTTGTCTTCAAACTCCTGGTTTACCTGCTTCCATTTGCTAAATCCTGATTACAGGCATGTGGCCTGTTGCCAAGCTTAGGAAGTTCTCTTTGTATTGTGTGTAGCTTATTGGCCTTGTACCGCACTTGGTCAGACTTCTGCCAACCAAGTAAAAGAGAGAGACCTTCCCATTGTTGTCACGTGGTCATATTCACACCCCTAACCCAGTGCCAGGGACCAGGCCTAGATGGCGTTCATACCCAATATGCATGGAAGCAAACAAAGCCCCGTAGGGCAGGACCAGATATTTAGGACAGGGGGAAGAGACATTGCTACTGCCACATGGACGTTTAGGCAGCTAGTTCCAGCACTGATGTGGGCTGCATGAACCTGGAGGCAGGGAGGATGCTGTGGTGGTGGGCCCCACCAGGCAATAGTCAGGCGTGAAGCAAGGCACTCTGGGAATGTGGAGGAGGAGATGCATTAAAGACAGTCTAGAGCAGGATTTCCAGGAGCTTGAGATGCACAGAGAAGCAAAAGACAGTGGCCATTTGCCCTTCAGATATGGTGGATGATGGCACCCTGAAGCCCTAGAGAGAGCACAGCTCTGTCAGGAAGGGGGACTAGAGAGTTCAGCCTTAGCATGTGTGGGACCTGGGCCTCTGAATCATACAAGAAGCGACTAGGTCTGTTCTAGGCCAAGATACCTGCTAGGCCTACTCAACTTCAAATAATAGAGGTCTACATTAAAACTGGCTTTTTGTGTGCTTGGCTTTTGTTTGTTTGGAGATATTCCCTCTTCCCGTCTCACTCTGTAGCCCAGGTTGGCCTGGAATACTTGATAATCCTGCCTGCTGCTTCAACTTCCTAATTGCTGGGGTTATAGGTGTGAGCCATCACACCCAGCTAAGAATGATGTCAAAAAAAAAAAACCTCTTCTATTACATATATATATATATATATATATATATATATAGTGTGTGTGTGTGTGTGTGCATGCGCGCTTGCGAGAGAGAGAGAAAGAGAGAGAGAGAGAGAGAGAGATCAGCTCTCTCTTTCCATTATGTGGGAAGTCTATTGTACAAGGCAGGAGTCAACAAACTATTTGCAAAGACCAAAAAAACTTTTGTTTTTAGGGCTGTGTGGTTTCTGTGGTGGTGGCATCTTGTGTTCCCAGATGCTTGGGCTACAGTTATCTCATCTGTGTACCTGGCCAACAAGGACAGAGCAGTGTACAGAGCTTCCCTTGAAGAATACTTCCTAAAAATCTACATAACACTATTACTGACATTCCATGGATCAGAATTTAGTCATATGATCACATTCAGCTTCAAGAAAGGCTAAGAAAAATAGAGATTTGCTGGGCAGTGATGGTGCAGGCCTTTTAATCCCAGCACTCAGGAGGCAGAGGCAGGGGGATCTCTGAGTTTCAGGCCAGCCTGGTCTACAGAGAGAGTTCTAGGACAGCCAGGGCTGCTATACAGAGAAACCCTGCCAGGGGAAGTAGAGACTGACATCCCTGGGAGGCCTGCTCTTTTCTGAAGGGAAATGGAGGACCAGTGGTTCTGGGGGAGAGTGGGGGGGCTGAGAGGAGTGGAGGGAGGGAAGGCTGCAGGCAAGATGTATTGTACAAGAGAATAAATAGAAAGAAAAAAAAGGAAAGTAAAAAGTGGAGACTGTCCTTAAGGCAGGAGGTGAAAAGCCCTGTTTGGGGACTACCAGCTGCCTCTAAAGAAAACCCAACACATCAGAAGGGTACTTGAGTAGGTCACAGTCAACATCAGGACGGCCTTCCTGGGAATTGTCATTAGGTCTGGGTTGTAGAAAATGAGTAGATTAGGCAGAGGCAGCAGGGGTGGGATGGGATGTGCGGGTGGTGTGTGCTGATGTGGTCAAGGGGTGTAGGTGATGGGCCTCGCTTCTTTCAGAAAAACAACTGAGGAGTTCAAGGCCCTGGACACCCATTTGGCTCATGGTTCCACAGGTGTGATGCTGAGGTGGGTGGGGAGCAGTCAGCAGAGTCCACTAGGACTCTATCCACATAAAGTCGGGAGGCTGGAGTCCTCTAGATCCAGCTGTGATAACCTCTGAAGTCTTCCCAGGCTTCCACCACCTTTAGAACATAATGTCAGTGCCCGGGCATTGCTCACAAGGCTCAATGGAACCTGGACTCTGCTGGGAGAGCCCACTGCCTCTCTTGCCTCAGGGCCTTTGTAGCCTCTAAATTTTCATCTCCATTTCCTTCACCTGGATGCTTCTTCTTCTTCTTCTTCTTCTTCTTCTTCTTCTTCTTCTTCTTCTTCTTCTTCTTCTTCTTCTCCTCCTCCTCCTCCTCCTCCTCCTCCTCCTCCTCCTCCTCCTCCTCCTCCTCCTTCAAGTGCAATATCTGTTCTGGCAACAGATATTGGATAGATAATCAATTAATAAAGAAGAAAGGTTCATTTGGGCTCATGACCTCAGAGGTTACAGTCCATGGTCATCAGTTGCTCTGTTGCTCTGGGGTTGTGATGAGCACATATCAGGTTGGGGATGCATGGTAAAACCACCTACCCACAGCATTGCAGCTGGGAAGAGAGAGGAGGAAAGAGTTGGGCTGCCAGTGACAACTTCAAGGGCACACCTCTAATGACATAACAGTCATCAACTAGGGTTAGCACTTAGAGGTTCTGCCACCTTCCAATGGCAGCATAGGCTGGGACCAAGCCTCGACACATGGAGAAGTGGGCATTCGAGATCCAAATGCAGCAATTAGTGGGGGTGCCATTGCATCAGGACACTTCCTTGTCGGGGTTAGGAGTCCCTTTCCATGCTCTGCGTCATCATTTTCTCATCATAACCCTTCCCCATAGTGGACATTGCCTTGTCATTTCTCCCTCCATGTCTGTTTTACAATCGAACACATTACCCAGTGCTCAGAAATGGGGGGTGGGAGGGCTGGTCTGGAGGAGAAGTTCAGGAAATGCTGGGGAAAATGGTATTGAATTTCTAGGAGTTGAAAAGCAGGCAGAGGCAAACCGCAGATAAAGGCAGGTGAGACCAGATGCTGAACAGCCAGAAGCTCCTGCCAAGGGTGGAACTGTAGTCTGCTTTGTCCCAGTGCAGACAAAGGGAGGGAGAGGCACCCCTAGCCTCATCCTCCTACTGTGGAGCTGTCATTAGAGAAAGATCATGTGTGTGTGGGAAGATCACAGTCATTCTAGATGAGCCCCAAGCCCTTCTGGTCCCATCACAAGAACTGCTCACTCACCTGAGTACTGTCTTCATTTCTCCATGCTCAACAGGGCAGGGACACGCAGCCCATCCTGAGACCTTCAATACACACAGTGACTAAGGAGGTAAGAGGGAGGAGAGGCAGACACATGGGCCCGGGGTTCCTGTCCAGCTGTGCTGGGTCTGGGGCCTGAGCCTTCTTCTGGGTCCTGTCTTGGCCTTTCAGATCCCGTTTGAGAAGAACTGTGGTGAGGACAAGAAGTGTGAGGCAAACCTGGCCCTGTTGTCCTCTGCCAGGTCTGTAAGCCTTTGTCCCTTGACCCCTTCTTCAATTCAGCTCCATCTTCTTGAGGTAGCTGCAAAGAATGCTGAGGCAGTGTCAAAAGACCCGTCAGGAATGGGCTGTGTCCACTCTGGGTCTCACCTTCCTTCCCTGAGAAAGGCAGCTGTTAGCAGAGCTTGAACAGGGATTTATAACCAGACGATCTGTAGTCCGTAAGGTTAAGGTATCTTTATTCAGATAAACACCAGCCAAACGCAAGCCAGAGCGTGCCCAGAGGCAGCAAGCCAGAGAGAAGGGGCTCCCCATGTGTCTGCGGCTCCTTAAGAATCCCCCCTCCCCGTCATCCTCAACCTCCCCCTGACCACGCCCACACACCTGTAGCGGCTCCTAGAAGGCGGGGCTACAGTGTCTCCCTATAGGGATTAGATAGTGTTAGGGCCCTGAGCCTAAGCATAGGAGCTGGTTGGTGTGTGTAGTTGGCCAGCTCCCTCAGCTCTGAAATCCTCACCTTATGCTGTCTCCTGCCGTCTTGGCCCCCATGACTTGTTTTCTGGTCACCTCCCAATCCTCCAGATCCCGAGTCCTGCGTCTGACTTCCTCCGCCAGCCTTGCTGTGGAGTGGACGCTGAGCAATTCAGGAGAGGATGCTTACTGGGTGCAGCTGGACTTGAGCTTCCCTCCGGGACTCTCCTTCCGAAAGGTGGAGATGCTTAAGGTGAGCCCAAGGGTACCACCTGCAAGTAGTTTCCTGCACTGGCTCCTGTTCCTGCAATGAGCTTTGGGTAGCCCGGATGGCCAGAGTGGGTGGGACGGCTGCTAATGTGTAAGGCTCTGAGGGTCATGTCCGCATTCCCAGCCTGAGCTGAGGCATAAGCTCTTTGGCCTTGGAGTCTCTTTTTAGTGCCCCCCCCCCAAAAAAAATGAGGCTGGTGAGATGAGATGGCTCAGTCAGTAGGTAAAGGATTGTTTTTGTACACATGAAGACCTGAATCTGGTCCCCATGTAAAAAGCTCACACGTGTGTGTACCCTCATACATATACATACTTAGAAATAAAATTAAAAGGAACTAGAGAGATGGCTTGGCAGTTAAGAGCACTGACTGCTGTTCTAAATGACCCAGGTTTAGTTCCCAGCATCCACGTGGTGGCTCACAACTGCTGTGACTCCAATTCCCAGGGTTCTGTTGCCTCTTCTGACTTTGATGGGTTCCTGTATGCATGTGTTGCACGCACGCCCACATGCACACATGCACACACGCACTCAACTACATACTCATATATATAAAAACAAATAAGCATGTATATATTTTGTTTTGTTTTCTTGAGACAGGTTCTCACATGTAACCCAGGCTGGCCTTGAACTCACAGAGATCCACCTGTCTCTGCCTCCCAAGTTCTGGGATGAAAGGTGTAAGTCATCATGCTCAGCTATAATAATGCCTACTAAAAAAATAAAAAGTAAGAAGGAAAGGAAGAGAAAGAAGTTCATGAAAGAGGCTCTGGGGTGATATCTTTAGCACACTTGGTAACATAAAATTCCATCCCCGGGAGATGGTTGAAGTCCTTCTGAGCAGTGTCGTGCCTTGTGTTGAATAGGACTTTTAGTGTGCTAGCCTAGCAAGCATGAAGCCCAGCGTTCCTCCCAGCACTGAATACAGCTGGGAAGGGAGGTGGCACCTGTAATCCCAGCACTGAGACAGAGGTGGGAGAGCTGGCGGGTGTGAGAAGGCCAAGCTCTCCTTTGGCTACATAGTAAGTCAGAGATTAGTCTGGGATACTGAGACTCTGTCTCCAAACAGACAGAACTTTTAATGCTTCAAATGTTTTTAAAATCATAAGTGATAACCATGGAAGCTTAGAAGGGACAGAGAAGTTCAAAGAGTTTTATGGACATCTCAGCAATCACTACATGCATGTATGTATGTATTTGCAACACTGACAATTGAATACAGGGCCTTGAATATGTTAGGCAAGTGCTCAGATACTAAGCTAAACCCCTAGCTGAGCAATTCCTGTTCTTATCCTTTGGGATTATCCTTTTAGTCCCTAAGTGTGTGGATTTTTTGTTTGTTTGTTTTGTTTTGTTTTTGTTTTTCTCAGTGTTCATTGGTATTTTGCCTATATGCGTGTCTGCGTGAGAGTGTCAGAAGCCCTGGAACTGGAGTTACAGACAGGTGTGAGCTGCCATGTGAGTGCTGGGAACTGAATCCAGGTCCTTTGGAAGAGCAGTCAATGCTCTTAACTGCTGCAACATCTTTCTAGCCCCACTAAGTGTATTGTTTTTAAAATCATAAGTGATAACCATGGAAGCTTGGAAGGGACAAAGAAGTTCAAAGAGTTTTATGGACATCTCAGCAATCACTACATGCATGT